GGTCTCATCCGCCTCTGTATGGACCTAGAAGACAACGCTGCCCCAGGAATTATGAGGGGGATCCAATCCATTACACACCTCAAGTTAACTCTGAATGTGCATGTGTAAACTATTTTCTGTCTGTACATCTCTTAGCATGTGTAAAAAAGTGTTTCCCCACTTTCACGGTGTGCTTGCAGCTGCCTAACTCTAAGTGTGGGTGCCCATGTGCACACGGGCTTGTGTGTGAAGGATTCAGAGATGGTTTTGCATTCAGTTCTTTGATGGCTGTACAGTTATCCTGTGATCTAATGCATCAGAAGCCCCTGCTTTAAAGAAGAAAAGCCTTGATTTCGCATTGCAGCCATATGGACTCACATGTTTCGCTCTTAAAATGAGGTCCACACCAGAGGTAAACACTGGGCCACAGTAATAGATGAGGTCTTCGAACGGCCACAGAGTCCGCAGTACATGATATCATCATAAAGCTGGTCTGCACCTGGGAGGAAGAAGATGAATAATCCTTGTTTAATATGGGTGTTAAATTTTCAAAACTTTATTTATCCACTGAAAGGTAATTTAAGTTTAAGTTCCTATTTCACATTTAGACACATTAAAATATTGGAACTACTCAATACAAGCACATTTATTCACAAAGACAACCAGTCCAGGTGATTTAAACTTACAACCTTCTACACCCATGCTTGATCCTCTAAAATGATTTTGTGTTTTCATTTCTAGTAGTTCATTTAAGCCTGATAGATGGACGGTCAAAGCCAGCTCATTCACTCAGGAGTATTTCTGTGTAGTTTTTTTTTCTCTGTAGATTAAACACGCTGGCAGGAGTGAGGAAAGGATGGAAACTCAATGAAGTGTGATGATGATGTGATGTGTTTAGCAAGGAGGGTTCAAGGCCTCACTCTGTGCATGCTTTCACCATGTCGTCACCTTATAGCCAAACCCCACTGGGACGTACACTCGTGGGGGAGAGAGAGGCAGAGAGTTAAAATGAGAGCACTGAAGAAATATGGAAGGTGGATTAGAGCTTTGTGTTCTTTCTGGTGAAGCTGTGCAGGTTTGGTGCCTCCTTTTTCTAATTAAATGTTTTGTAAAATCCCAGAGAAGCTGAACTGCAGGACACACTGCGGGAACTCAACACAGATGGATTTAAAAATGTGGCAAAACAATCTTGCTAATGTAACAATATGTAAAATAAATAAATAAATACAACTCCTGAACCTGTCATAGAAGTGATACTGACCGAGAGAAGGAAATAAAGACAGTCAGGTAAATGCAGCGGTGACAATAAGGTGCATAATAAAGGCAAAGAAGGTGCAAAACTAGAGAATCCATGGCGTTGTAAACTCAACAATGTGGTTATAAAAACCTAGAAACTTCTGATTGTTTTAAAGTTTTCCTTTAATATTAAAAAATTAAGCACAAGCTGCTCAGGAACCTATGTTTTAAAATAGAAATGAATTTTACTTTATTTCTAATGTACAAAATCTTCACAGCCATTTCAACAGAATCTAAAGAGTTAAAATGAAGAAGGTAAAAAAAAAACTAAGCCTAATTGATGTTGGACACCCTGGTGGTCTGAGCTTCAGTCTCACCTGCTGACTGCTGAAAAAAGTAATTTGTCCCAGCGCTGGGAGGTGAGGGCTAAATATAAGGAAAACATTGTTATCGTGATTAATCAGCAGCTCTGTCAGTGGGGTCAGGGTGAATAGAAAGTGGCACAAATGACTGCATGGAATTCCTGATGTGTCAGACAGAATAAAGCTGCAATGTCCGTCCTTCACTCACTCTCAGTTTCACCCACTTATTCAGAGGAAAGCTAATCCCAGTTGCTTCAAATCCCTCATGGTTCCCTGCAGTGTAGGCTGCAATCAAATGGTTTTCAGTCAGTGGTGGATGATTTATTTCAGGTTGGTAAATCACAAACCATCATCCAGACATAGGATTATCAGCTATAAATAAAGTATTGGATTTTCTTTTTCCACATCATGGAAACAGATGTGATGAACTGACTGAACAAAAAATGACACACACTTCAAAGACACAAAAACAGACAAGCTGTGGGACTGAAATGTGGAAGCTCCCAAGTTTTCTTTTTTCTTTATTTCTTATAAAGGCAATGTTTCAACCTGAAAAGTTAGAAACTGCTTTGCCTTTGAAACCCTGCCATCAGTTTCACTGTTCTCTGACAGCTTCCATGTTCCTGTGCTGATGTTTTGTCCTGCACATGAACCAGCTGGGACTGGATGTGCACACCATCCACCTTGTTTTTGTTCTGTTGTTGTTTTTGCAGTTCCTTTAATTAAGTGACTTGTAATTATATGTAAAGTTACATTCATATTTATTAAGTGCTAAATAGTATAAAATTAACTCTGTAGATATGGATCTGAGGGAGGCACAGCGGAGCAGTGGTTAGCACTGTCGCCTCACAGCAACAAGGTTCTGGGTTTGAGCCCTGGGGCCTTTCTGTGTGGACTTTGCATGCTCTCCTTGTGCCTACGTGGGTTATCCACATGTCAGCACTGTGACAGACTGGCTGTGTACCTCACCTGCCAGCTGGGATTGGTTCCACCCCCCACCCCCCACCCCCATGAACCTATTCAGGAATACGCAGTATAGATAACATATATGGATCTGAAACAATATGGAGGATAGATCCTTAAAGTGTTGAGAAAAAAGATGAACATCTAGAATTCCTGACAGCTCCATCTGCTGATAAAGATGTGATATTTCAGTGAGGAGAGATAAAATAAAAATGAATTAACATTCATTCATAACATGATTAGACTCCAGTGATGTGAAGCAGCTTCATTAAGCGTATGCAGAGGGCAGGACGGATCCCCTGGCATCTATACTGTGATGGTGGTGGAGCAGAGCCAGCCGATGGTTGATGGAGGCTTTGGACAGAGACTCTGGACATCATGGAGGTATGGTGGTGTCGGGTAGGAAGTGGGTTGCAGTCATAGGTCTGAAAGGCAAGCAGGCAAAATTGTAACTGTATATTTAGAAGGGCAGCCAGTGATTTGCTCAAGTGATCAAAAAGATCACTGGCTAGGTATGGTGATGTCAGGATTAAAGGTGGAGGGAGACCTGACAGCACAGGGCAGCAGAAGGGAGTTACAGTAAATAGCCCATGTTAATTCACTGATGAACAAGAAGAATGTGAAGGAAGAGATCATCCTTGGTGAATTTTTTCCTAAGCTTTATGATCTGAATAACTAAAATGGGCCTTGTGATAAGATTATTTCATCAACTCGTTTCCAATATCAAGAACAAACACTGAACCTCAAACTTTTAGATATTTTTTTCTAGCTTTCCATGTCTAAATGGCAGCACTAGCATGACCTAAAACATTTACTTCTTCCTGATTTGTTCTGAAGAGGTCAGCACTTTGGTTTCCACTATAAATGGACTGGAAACCACCAAATGCTAGCAAAGTGAAAGACTGATTGAAAAACAGAATTTGGGTTTCATTCCGCTGCCCATTAAGATTTATTAATATACAAGGATTATTCTAAATAATCAGATTGGCTGATTTTATCTGATTCATTGTTCCATACTTTAGAAAATTACAGGAAAAAGGCTTAACAATAAAATGTCTTTTTCCCCCCCTTGAACTTTAGCATTCTGTGAATCTAATGTCAACAACCGTCATCACAACCATAGATCAAGTCTGTTTACAACACTGCCTTCTAACTACTTACCTCAATTTGTGTGATTGTGATTTTGTGTTAAACCCATTTGGTGCCCTAAGCAGGTTAATGCAGTCTGTTGTCAAAACACTTCTTCCTCTTAGACAAGTCGGGACGGAAGGCTGTTTCTGGCTGAACCTTGCCTGAGGAGGTCATTTGGTCTGATGCCTTTCACTCCACATAATTTAAACTTCCTCACCGCAAGCTGCTCACAAACAGCATAAATAAACAACCACAGGACAAACCAGGGTTTGGAGCTTGTTAGGGTGCACGATTTCAACATGTGAGTTTGTTTGTTCAAATCTGCTCGCACAGTGACCTAATCCCTTTATACCGAGCACGTGTGACGAGGGGGAAAAATACATATTTTTCCAATACGCAGACAAGGCTGTTCATCAGGCAAGGTTTGACACGTCTTTGAACACAGTTAGAAACAACAACTTGATGGAAAAAGTAAAAGGTTGGAGTAGGGTGGTTTGGCTAAACAAAAGTCACTTTTGGACACTGCTGCATGGAGGATGGGAAAAGGAAAGATGATGAAAAGAATGAAAAGATACATTCCTGAGTATCTAACTCACTGCCTCGCTGTTTCCTGGGCTTGATTAGAGGGATGCAGTGACTTGTGGGTACATTAAGATTAAGATCTCAGCTGTCCAGAGGGAATTACAAAAAAAGAAGCTATATGAGTGGCTTTATCAAATGTGACATGGGTTTTTATAAAAGGAAGTCTCATTGCAGCCTGTGCTTACACTGTGCAGCCATGCAGATACATTATGTGATGATTACAGAGGCCAATGCATAATCAAAAGGTCACAGCTTTGACCCCCACAACAGCCAGTCTAAATTGCTGCCATGAATTAAACAAGGCCCTGCTTGATTTTGTTGTAGATTGTGATGCACAATACACAGGTTAAAGGCTTTATATAGGTTCGTGTCTTATAGCTCAAGACACAACAGACTGTCAAAGAACATAATGAATGAACAAAACTAATATTGGGGCGACTGGTTACTGAGACACTGACCACCTGTAATCAGTTTAGATACTGTTGAGAAGATTAACAAAAAGGGAGCAACTCAGGCTCACATAACCAGCCTGGCTGTGAAGGAAAACAGTATTTAGCATCAGTATAATCAGGACAAAAGCACCAGCTAGGGTGCAAAGAATGTTCAACTGACAAAACGAGACATCTTCACAGCTCAGTGTGCAATCCATTCTTAAACCATATGGTGCAAGTTGTCCTGTAAATCTGAATTGCAATGATTACTTTCAACTTGTGCAACTGCTGTTAATGTAAGTGTAAATGTAAGTGATTCTAGATGGCGATCTTTTATTGTTGATCTGTTGGTGGCTAATTTAGCCAGTAGCTTCTACAGCATTTCATGAGTACAAACAACATTAACCAATCAACAAGTGTTACATAAATTAATGATGGCTCTGCTCTATTCAATTAAGTCATGACAATGCCATGACCCTGAAACTAAAGCAACTACATAAAATGGAGCATATTTTAAACTTGAGCTTTTCTTACTGTGACATATCAAACTATCCTTTGTCACAAAGGCCTGGTGTGAAAAGCTAGAAGATAACTGTTTTACCACTTTGTTTGTAGTGCAATAACAGGAAACACAATGAAAACAGGAGGAAAAACTCACTTTTAAAACACTATTTTTGAATGGTTATACAACAACTCATTGATGAAGTAACATTACAGAGACAATACAGTGTTATATCCATTCAATTCTAGGGCAATTGCCACCATCACTGCCCCAAAAATATGTTCAGCAAATCCCAGTGTACATAGCAGTTAGTCTTGTGTTTCTAGTACATCCAGTTACACTTGCTGCAGGGCAACAGTGGCCAGTGACTCCAGGATATGATCTCAGGCTATGATTCACCCCAGATAAACATGCATGATGTCTCGTCACACAGCCTCAAAACTTACTTTGTAAGCAAAAATGTCAATTTCAGTGTTTGTTGCCCCAGAAAGTGAAGTGAACTGCACAAGGGCCAGACTGTTGAGCTCCTGCTTCAGCTCTGCTTTGGCCGCTTTGACCGTGGAGTGTCAGCTGCTGTGTCTGCCACCTTTTTTCTAGAATCTTTATCCTCTGGATCATAGAGAGCATTCCTGAGAAAGCGTGCAGCAGCCCCCTTATCTAGACGGGCAGCTTTCTTTTTGTCAGTGATCTCTTTCACTCTGTTCATGTATGTCCTTATCCGCTCCTGAACAGCAATGGAATAGTTACAGAAAAATTAAAATAATGCACATAATGATAAAAAAATTGGATAAAGACAGTACAGAGAACATAGAGAGTACATACCAATTCCTGTTTGATTCCATGTTCTCTGGGATTTACTCCTTGTGTTACCAAGTACACTGTAACAAAGACCAAAAGAAAGACTTCATATACCGAATACTGATCCCAGATCAAGACAGATTCTGTATATGGTTCAGACAATATTCAATCTAAGCCTAGGGTCTCAAAAGATCTGTCTGGCATCTTTATTTTCTTTTAATTTCCTCTCTGAATCAAATACTTTGAATATGCAGACAATCGCATTACTGCTCTACTGTTCTTCAATTTCATATATATTTCAATATCATTATGTTCTGGCACTACAGGTATATGGTATGCAACTTAACTCATTGATATACCAAGAACACAGTAGTGTTCTTTAAAATAAACCACACAGTGAAAGCAGAGAGAAATTTGGAAACAGTAAGAAACAATCATGTGAATAACTATGTGATGGCTCATATTAAAACATGACATTGCAAAAGCTCATAAGAGCAAACATCTGGACTTTTGTGAATGCAAATGCGGAGTGGCAATATATTCTAAATTATATTCAATCTGGTGCACATGCACAAACAAAATGACAGATTTGTGACCAAAAATAAACAGTATTTTGGTTTTTCATTTAGCTTTTCAGTTTTCATTTCACACAGGAGACATGAGCATGGTGTATCTCTACAATAAAATCCCCAGAAATATCAACTATCATTATTATTTCTCTGCTCAGTGTGTTTTCTGGCAACTGATGTCAGGATCACTTTCAAGAACCACCTAAGAAAACCTCTAATACACTACAAACATTTCATGTGTTTTCCTACATCCAAAGAATAATCACAGTGACTGAACAATACTTACTCCAGAATAATGAGTTAAGGGTGTAGGCAGACATCAGATCCAGCTTGGCTTGATCCAAAGGATTCAGCTGTCAATGAAACAGATTTACTTTAATGAACAACAGTTACCTAAAAAACAACCACCTCCTTTTCTCACAAAATGTCATCACCACTGTAACACAATAAGCAACCCATCAGGGAAAAGTGTGTTCATATGTAATACTACTAGGTAGATTTACACCACAGAATGCTGAGTAGACAACCCAATGGGATGAGACTATAGCTCCCCCTTTAAGAATAATATTGAGTTTGTTGTATAATGGCATGTAAAATGTTACTCTTCAAAGTAACTGGGAAACAGCAACCTCACGATAGGTATGGAAGGTTGTCTATCCTGTGTGTTAGACAACCATACTGTAGGCTATCACTGTTGTCTGATGTGATTTATTTCTTTTGGTGTAGTGACTTACAATTAAATCATACTAGTGAGCCAGCACATACATGGTTGTGTCTGATTGCTTTTTGTCTAGCATCTGTAATTTGTTAGAAGAGTCACAAGGTCGGCTATGAGCAAGCTCTTCAGTCTACCTTTTGCAGTAGGTCATTTCTGTGCATCGACATCAACTTGTCCAACATGGTTTTTACAGAAGAAACTGAGGAGTCGAAGCCTGTGAGCTGTTCGTCTATTTCATGGGGATAGTCGTCAGTTTTAACGTCCGCTGCCATTTTTCTGCAAAGTCATTAAATTCATGCAATGTTATGTTACTACTGTAACACGATTATTCCATTATCTTAGACAGCAGCAACACGCTTTAGATGCTAGCTAACACTAGCTAAAGATGGCGTATGCTGATAACAAGAGATCGTGTCGATTAGCAGAAATACAGTGACAATTAGCATTATAAATTATTTGTGAAGCAACACCTACTAATTACTTAGAAATCCACTGAAGCCTGAATGTAATGTTTGACGTTAGCCATATATTTGTTACCTGGTTAGCAAACAACACGCTTTCGCTGAAAGGAAGTGACGTTACCGAAGTCAATTTCCGATTCGTGACTTCCGAATTACCAGTTAAGGTAAAACTTAAGTGAAATTTAACAATGACCTCACGCAATTTTTTAACAAACCCGAAAGCGTATTTTAAATAGTCACGCTAGTTTATTTGTTAATCATGCCAGGTTTGAAAGTAAATGTGGATGTTTTTAAGCTGGACCTGGTCATCAGGATGGAAATCTTTTTGCTTTTATAAATATAGGTTTCATAAATCAGAATGGGGGGGTTGAAACACCTCGAGGCTTTCATTGGGATGTTGAACATCGCCCTTCCACAACAAGTGGTGTATAAATAAATAATAAACATAAAACCGGTCCCTCATTACAAAAGTATCTGCCCTAAAGTTTTCCTTTACATTTCCCCTTAACTCCTGAACTAACTTCAGCATCTGTATTTTATCTCTACTGCCATCTGCCGTTTGGAAGAACGAAAGAGCTACTTTTCTGACTGTAACACTAACTTTTAAATATTGACGATTTCTTTTATAGCCCGATAACAGCAGTATCTGTGAACACAAGTTTTGTTTTCTTTAACTACCACAACTGTCATCTGTATTTTCCTTATACGTGAACCCCCTGTTTATTGACAGACCTTCTTAACTGATAACAAAAATTAAGGGCAGATTTTAATGTTAGTCTTAAAGTTTTAACCTTTAGAGAAAAGGTGCTTTTCAGCTAACTACGCTAACAGCTAGCTAACGTTAGTAGTAATTTAATATCGAAAGTCAGGTGTTCACGTTACTATGGTAACGTGGGGCATCAGCGCTGTGAATGAAGCTAATACACTGTTCAAGAGCTTAATTGACAAACCAGCTTTAAGGCCTTGGACTGTACACGCAAACTGTTGCAGAAAAGAAAGAAAAGAAGCTTGAAACATGGACAACTGTAATTTGGAGAAACTCTCGGTGTCTTGTGGGAAACTCCAGCCAGCGTTCAAACCAGAAGTTACAGACTACAAAGTGACAGTGGAGAGCAGTGTTAGCAAAGTGACTCTGGACCTGTGTACTAGTGACTGTGGGGCTTCTTACAGTATTGTGAGTACTGTCCTCCGTGTTCACTTGTCCTAGCTTACCACCTGAGACTTTTTCATATGGGTTTTAACCTTTTTATTTTTCAGCTCTTTGGTGACAGTTCCAGCACCATTAAACTGAATGATGGGTTAAACAAAGTAAGCATCGAGGTGGTTGCTGAGGATGGCACCATAAAAAAATACTGTGTGGAAATCATCAGGATGTCTGCAAAGATTGCTGAGCTCAGTAATCTGAGTGTGGAAGGGGATATTCCACTTTATCCTGCATTTTGTGCCCAAGTCTATGGATACAGTAGTGAGTACATAGATCATTTACCGGAGTTAAACAAGTTGAATTAATTATACCATTTTGTTTTGCCATTGTTTTTTAATGTAGTACATACACTGATATAGTACGTAATAGATTTGCAACAATATAGTTTCAGAAAATGTTTAAAATATAAATACGTGTGCACATATCCATTAGTGATATGTTAATGGTAACCATGTTATAGGCTTATTATTTGAAGTACTTTGCATATTGCTGGGGAGCTTGTGAATTTCCCACAGGGGGTACTCACTGTGAAATTTCTCCACCAGGTGTTGTTCCCTTTTATTGTAATGCAGTGACCCTGCTTCCCAAGGCACCAGACAAAAACATCAGAGTTAGAGTGAATGGGGCAGACAGCTCACAACCGGTCCCTCTGAATTTTGGAGACACTGTGGTGGAGATCTCAGTGTGTTCAGCAGATGGCAGTAATTCACAGGTAGGAAGAGACACACTTAGGTGACTGCTTATACTGTAATTACATAAGCAGTACTGATGCTGTGTGTGTGGTCCTGCCACACTGTTGGATGTTTTTACTTTCTACTACTGGACTATTGACGCTCCTCTCTCTCTGTCAGGTGTACACAGTAGTGGTGACTCGAGAGCTAATACCCATGGCTGTGACCTTCACTGATGAGAAGCAGCAGCTGGACTATGAATGTCCAGTATCCCTGAGTGCTTTTTATAGGCCTGTATCTATCAAGCACAGGTGAGACATGAATAGGAATAGTTGTCAGTATGAGTTGTAGCAGCACTAGCCTCCTTTGTCATATCTATATTAATACTGTGTTTCTGGAGCAAATGCTTTGTCTGCAATGCAGTTGTAATACATTTAAGAAAACAAACAAAATTTAAGTAAAATACAAACATGCATTAAACCAACAACCAGTATTGGATGCCCGGTCTCAGTTTATAAACAGCAATCACCATTTGCCAACCTCTACTTGTGTGTTTTATTTCAATTTGGTTAACTACAACTACTGAAGTGTATCATTTGGCTTGTTTAAAACTTGTTTAAATATTAAGGGAGTTGCTATATAGGGTAATTTCTCAATAGCCTTAGCTTAGACATTTGTCTTTTGTATTACAGTAGGTTTCAACAAATGCAGTTTGGTTCTCTCCTTGATTTGCAGTGACCCAAAGCACATCTTCTCAAGACCTTATATTGAGATGCTGGCACGGAGGTCAAAAGTCGACCCACTTAGCAGCTGTCCTCTGGGAGGTGGCTGGAAGGTTGTTGAACATGATCTTGACAGAAAGATGTCTGCTGCTCTGGTCAAGTGCTTCTTTCTTTATCGAGGTGAAGCTTGGAGTTTTAGTTCCTATAAAAGATTTAGCTAAAGCAGAGCTGCTGTGGAGGCAAAGCTATTATTGATTGAGTTAAAGGTAAATGGATGGAGCTGTAGAATCACCATTATTTCTCCTAATGCCAAGCAAAAAAGCCAGTGGTATAGAGAGGAGGAAGGTAATAGCTTGTTAACATCCAAAAAACATGAATTTCACAGTAATTGATGAATAAAGTAGAAGTGCCATTTCCTGATTGCTTTCAGAGTACATCTCTCACCATTTATGTTGTGACACCGTTGAGCTGCACTCAGAGTAAATGATTATTTGGCTCCACCATTGAGCTTTAAATATTTCTCTCTACTTCTGAGGAATACTTTTAAAACTACATTGTTAATAATCTAGGTAAACTTTGCTTTACCTTTCAACAGTCCTGTTACACTACCTATACTATCATGTAACATGATGTAACTATTGTGTTGCTGTAATGATGGGGATACTATTACTTAACTAAGACCTCAGGTTATCTAGTTATTGTGGGCTGACAGGTGGATTTGCAGGCCATCTTATCCAGCAGACTTCCCCCCAAGTCATGTGGATTTCTAGTCAACCAAGTTCTGCAACATTTAGCAGAATGTTGCACCAGAACAACAATTATTGAACAGTTTTCACATTTGTAGGGAGAATAAATCTGTAAAGTTGTTAATAAAGCTAACAACTCAGTTCATCCTTTAAAAAGACACAAACACTTAGCACAAGCGTGTCACTTATTGTCGTGCATGATACAGTTTTTCCTTTTACACTTTCCAGCAGCGGAGGACACCTCTATACTATGGTGATTCTTTGTGTCTGTGATGTTTTTTTTTTTTTAACAAAAGGATGTAACAGTGTGATGAAACTGTCTGAACTGGGGTCACACTCTCTGGACTGTCCACACAAGCCCACAGGGGACCTGGATGCAAAGGTCAGTATGAAAGATTAAACAGAGCTCTACGTTGCCAGAATCACTGCTTTCAACCTTGACTCTGCTCATCCTTTATTTACAAGTTCGTGCTCCCTTCACAGTGACTAAATGGCAGCTTCTAGACTAGAAGTATCTTGTGTTTGTATATGGTAACATAGCTGAGTGTGAATAAACAATTTGTGTACAGTGCATGTGTGCAGGTTTTTTTGGGACAGGATGCAAAGGTGTGTTACTGTTTTTGCATTTATTTAATTGTTACAAATTCTTCATTAAAAATGAGGAAACCCAGCAAACCTCAGTACATGTAAATACATTTCACCTGTGTGTGTGTTTATTTTCAGGATGTCACAGACACAAATTGGTATAAGAAGCACTTTGCATCAACCAGTTGTTTGGAGATAGAGACCAAACATGTTTTGGAGGTAATAAATCAATACTGTTATTTAACTTTATTCAAGTATAAAATTTAAGTGCATTAGATACATTCCATTTGACCCTTCAATAAAAGTAAGTATTTTTGGTAAGGATTATAGCCATGTACAGTAGAAATAAAATCACTTTAGTTTTCATGAAAAAATAGGAATTTTCTGTAGTGCCTCTGACACTTATATACTCACATCTTCCACAAAAAAATCTTTTGGCAAATAAATTATTGGTCAAAGTGAGATGAACAGTTTTCTTCTTGTACTTCATGGTTTGATGAGTTGATGTTTGTTTTTTGTCTGCTGCAGGTGCGTAACTGGGAGGAAAGGCTACAAATTACAGCAGGAGTGGATGGTGTGGACAAACTGTGTGCCTTAGCCAAGGAACACCTGGAACTCTATCGGCAGCGCCTTCCAAAGCCAGGTACAGTATGTAGCACTTTCTAAACCAAGACTGTAGGACTGCATATTGAAAGTCATTTATTAAAGACTGTTGGCAACCTGCTTCAACAGTGTAGCAACAGTGAACTTACAGTATGAAAGTATCCTCCCAAATGAAATGTCTGATACACCCCCTGACTGGTGTTCACCAGTTTTTTAAAACCAATTCTAGGTAGACAGGATTCTCCATATTACTACATGTATATCTGCACTAAAACCTTCCTTTGTTGTTGTCTTTACTTACCAATTGCCAGTCTGTCTAAATTACCATCCACTTTAACTTCCACAGATAGTTAGAAAACAAACCTGTTGAGTATTTAAATACACCCTTGTCCAGGGGGCACAAGAGCAGTTTATTTTGCCCTACCTTGGGACAGCAGCTCAGCTTCAGCTATTAAAAAATACAAAAAATATTTTTGTTAACATCGCTGGAACAGGCCAAGAGAAAACTGGTATGAGACAGGGAGCAACAGAGACAATGAATCTTCACCTCTTTAAATATATAATACTGTAAACAAACTTTTTCTTTTGTACTGGATCAAGTTTTAGGGAGGATGGTGAATGACAAGTGTTGCTGGTCTGACCTCTTATATATCACATGTGTACATATTATTAAGCCTGGGGAATTTGGTGTCAATATAAAATGTTATTTCATTTTTAATGTTACAAAACATGAAACTTTGCATATAAAGTACTGTATTATCATTAGGTGTATGTACGTATATATTGTAGACCCACAGAACATTTTCATTAACTAAGAGGTCTTTTTTTATCTAGTATACTGTATGTCAGTTTACAACAGAATGGCAAATGCAGCAGCTGTAGAAAGGGTTTGTATGATTTATAAGGTTCTCTGCAATGTAAAGGCTGTGACATCAGTACAGTCTAGCAGATCAAGGGCACGCTTGCCAAGGGAGGTTACACTCTGAATATTTCATGCACAGGGTGCGTGCAGTCATTCATAAGTGAAAGAGACGAGGCAGCCAAATGGGAGATCCTGTTATTCCACATTATGCAATGTACTGAAGTGGTTGTCCTTGAAACAAAAAACACTGCTGCAAACAGTAGTGGAAGAGTTTAATTTCAGAGTAGGACTTCAACAAAGTGTTTACTTTTTCATGAGAGCATAACAAGGAAAGCAACCAAATTGTGGCTTTTGTATGCTGTGACAGTCACTACAGTCTGAAATGAAAGTAATACCTATTGTCAGTTATTATTACAGAACTCGTGTTAAAACTTAAATCTAGATGATGTTTTGTTTTTCTAACACTGACTATTTTCATGTAGTTTTTGACATAACAGCAAACTCTGAGAAGGTCACCTTTTAAAAATATTGATGACCAATATTATTTGATATTTTTTAACAAAATTTGGGATGTAGCCAAACAGGGCTGGACTCATTTATTTGTACCAAAGCTTTTCAACTGATAATTTTCACTTCTCACATTTCCACAGGGGACATGTTGCAATATGAGGATGGCCGGTCTCCTCTGCAGATCCTGGAACAGGCTGCTTCCCACTGTGCATCAGCTATCAGACTCAGCTCTAGAGAAGCCAGACTCCACTTCCTGCTGGGTCTTGTTCTGGAGGAGCAGTACTACGCTACAGAGATGTACGGCCTCCAGAGGAAGGTAGTGTTAGGAAATGTTCTGTCAGCTTTTTCTCAGATCACTAGCTAAAGCAGAACATGCATGGCTAAATAAATTTTAAAAATTTCAGCACTGACCCTGTTGACTACATTCATACCAGGCAGGTGCTCAGAACAAAATGTCACTAAAGGTGGGCTTCAAGGATCTGGACTGAAAAAGTTTCACTCACATTTACCATTTTCCATATCCTGCAAATGCAGACACACCTGAAAAAAACATAATTGAGCTGTATCAATACAAAGTCCACATGTAATCTGTGGTCTAGGGATTTTTATAGTATGGCAAAGTTGTAAGGAAATATTAAAATAATATTGCTTTGCAGGTACATTTGTCAAGCAAACAGCAGATTTATGAAAATTGATACTGAATGATATTATTGGTGAAAAGTTAATTTCAGAACAGTGAGATATGCCACTGATGACAACACAACCCTTTCCCTCCATCTCCAGGCTGACAGAGACACAGATGTATTAAGCGATGCCAAATCAGCAGCACGTCAGGATGACATCCTGGCTGTATGCAAACTCCATGGTTTCCACGGCACACCCACAGTGGAGAACCAGCTACAGGCCTTGGATAAAGAGTATCGGCAGCTCAAAGACCAGGGGCAGTCCAGCAGAGCAGACTATGTACAGACACTCTACATCTGGCTCTCCAAGAAAATTGGCAAGGTAACTGTGTCATACTATAGATAAATGTAAATGCTGTTGAACATTAAAGTTTACTTTCCTCCACTTTCTCTAATTAGAAGCACCAGTACATCTAAAAAGTAAATGTCAATGAGATGCATTTACAAAAACATTGCAGTCTTCACAAAGTTTTGGAAAGACAGTAATAATGGTCTTTAATTTCTGACTGCATCCTTTATCTCAGAGTATCCAAGCACTTTTTAAAATTAGATTTAGCAGAATAAGAAGCCGTTTCCTATGGTAAACTGTAGTACAACATGCTAATCCTAAATAAGAAAATGCTAGATACTGCCACATGTTATGGATACTTAACTGATGCATTTTGGTATAAAGACTGCCACCACATTTAGTTATTGTTTTCTCAAGCTGTTTGGAAAAAAGTAGAAACCAAGCTCCTTACCCACCTTCTTGCAGGATAGCTGTTCAGCTGTGCAGGATCAGGAGAGCTGTGTCCACAAAGCTCTGATGAAATACCTGGATGCCTGGTCTCTGAGTCCAGATAACTGGGAGTACAACCTCCATGTAGGACGGCTGCTGCTGCTGCAAGGGAGGGGCCGAGAAGCCCTGCAGCACCTCCAGAATGGCCTGGCACTGCGCCCCCTACATCCTGCACTCAGGTCAGGGCATGTTGGTAGTAGAAGCAGAAACTGCATTGTTTCAGTAGCTGTAATAATAAAAATACCCATAACTAAAATGTATCCACAGAGCTAGGAGGTTTTACCTAAGGATCTCAATCTGAAATAAAACCTATAGAGAACACTATCATTAGGTGCAAAGCCTCATTGTGCTCTTGACAAGTGATCAGTCTTTAAATTGATTCTAAAACTCACAAGAAGAAAATAAACCAGTAGTATGCAACATGTATTTCAGCTCCTGTTAACAACTTGAAGGAAACATTTTGTACAAACCAGAGCTCGGGGGTTGAAGCTGGAATAAAATATAGAGAGGTGAAAGTATATTATGGTTTTCTGTGTCCCTGTGACATGAGAGCAGGCTAACAGCTTTGGTCAATGTGTCAACCTGTTCTTCAGATGTTCTCTCCTTTGTAATTCCAATATGATATTGTATGATTGTGTGGAGATTAAGAAATTGAATAAACAGGAGTAACATATTCACATATTGGAGACATGGCCCGGCAGTTTAACAGAGTAACCAGTGTCTAGATTAGTATCTAAAACTGTAGAGTCAGAGGTAGTTTTGTCTTTAGCATATCTCCTGTGTTGCCATCATTTTCTCAGATTCTTCACAGGGCTGGCTCTGCTGCAGCAGGAGCAGAAAGCCTCTGAGGACACAGAGAAGGAGGCTGCTCTGTTCTTACAACAGGGACTGGAACACTTTATCAGCCAGCGCTGCACCAAGAGGTGTGCATGTGAGTGTGTCTGTATGTGTGTGTGTGTGTGTGTGTTGGAGGCAGATGCATTCAGTGAGAGAAGGAGAGAATGTGAGGGCATGACAGTATCAGTAATGGACCAGAATGTTCTGTTTAAAGTTTAGAATAGGATAGTGAAGAAGACCATAGTCTGCAGAAACATACTGACATACCATCTGTTACCCAGTTATAATGTTTTTAGAGCCATATCAAAGTCTATATTTTTCCAACTAACCACCATCTTTGTCAGTTATTGGAGCCAGAAAATTCAAATTTGGGCAAAATGCAATGGTCTGAATTTAATGGCAAGGAAATTTGGGTAAAGCTTCGGACAACTGATCAGTTTCATCTCTCTCCCAATGCCTTGTATCTGTTTTTGCTTGTACAGTATTTAAGTTCATTATCACAGCTGACATCGATGTAGTGCCATTCTTTTTCATGATTTTGTCTACAGCTGGGTGGAGCAGTATCCATCGGATCCTCTGTCCAGCCTCAGCATACAGTTCTTGCGAGGCCTTCTCACTCTGGGCCAGCTGCAGCAGAGAAACACATCTGGGAAGGCCATGAGTACTGAACAGGTCTATCACATGTACGTCTGTCTGTAACAAACAAGAAGTTTTACTGAAGTAAAAATGTGACAGATTTTTATTTTTTTTTGGTGATATTACTGCTTCACTCAGTGTGGTTGATCTGAGATCCAATTATCTGTTTCACTCATCACCAGTGTGAAGGTGTGATTCAAAGAAATGTCTCAATAGTCACATCAGTATGAACTAGTTTAATAAGTGTTTAAGCTCTGCATGAAAACCCTGTGTCTGCTCATCTCTGTGCTGGAATGCTTCAGTGTAGCAGTGCTGACAGCCCAGAGTGTGAGTCAGTGTGTGTGTCGTGGTGAGGTAAGCGGGCAGCTGGAGTGGGTGTTGCTGGATGCTCACTTCGCCCTGCTGCAGAGGCTGATCCAGCAGGGTGACCTCCAGGACAAGGCTGGCACTGAGAAGCGGTTCCTCATAGCAAAGAGATGCCAGGCCCTCACAGGCCTCATAGGCCTCACCTCTATTGCCCCCTGTCAGGAGCTGTTGGACATGCAGAAGGAGGTAAGAGTGTCTACTTGAAATATGCAGGGTGTGTATTTTATGTGCATTTGAATGGTCTGTTTGGGTTTGCTCATATTTTTCACCACAGATCTCTGCCAGTGTTTTGGATTGCTGTATACTCAAGCAATATAATGTAGCTTGTCAGTGTATTGACTGTTATGTCTGTAAGTACCTGGTGTGGCCTAGAAGTCAGACTTGTGGCTTCTGCCCATCCCCCCCGCTGTGTACAGGCATGCCAGCTAGCAGTAGTGACCACACCACGGGACAGCCGTGCCTTGTGTCTCTTGGGTCTGGCACAACTGGCTCAATATGACAACAACCCACATTCAGACAAGTCAAAGGAAGCCATAACTGATGCCTGCCTCAGTTTCCAGGCTAGCATTGAGCTGGAAGGCAAGATTCAGATGGGAGAGCCACCTGAGCAGCTGAGCAGTGAGTCTATGTAATGTGCCTTTGATATTAAACCCCACTGACATTTTCAGAATCACAGCTGGCTAACAGGCTCTTTATGTAGAGCTGGGTTTAATCTTAAGTTGGTTTCATGAAAAATCAGGCTGCATATGATATAGTAACCTGAGCATTCCCTAACAGATAAATGGAGCCCTGCTGTTCAAGAAACACATAAAACAATTATGATAGCCTTGTGGACATGAACTCCATGGCCATGTTAACCATTTCCTGTTTGCTCAGAACAAAAGTGGTGGCGGGACTGGCAGGAGGCTGAAAATAAGAAAGCTGCCAAGCAGTCTATCCTCCAACCAGCAGGGGTGAAGGGGGCTTCTGACACCAGTGTGGCCAAGAGTGGAACTAGGCGGGGCGGGAGACAGCCTGGGCCAGGGTGGGTGGCAGCTGCTGTAACCAAAGCTCCCGCTCCTCCCCCACCAGCACCTGTCAAGGGAGGGAAACCTACCCGGCCTCCACCCAAAACCCCTGTGTCCAGGTGAGTTACTTTGGCAGTCTGAGTTTGGCTGACTTGTTGTGTGGTTGTCTGTGGAAGTCCGACCACATGATACTTAGTACCTTTGTTGTGTATGTGTGTATAAGTACATTAGTAAAACTTAGACATTAACACTAAGCGAAATGTGATGTATATGCCATAATGTCTGCATGAGTACAAATTAAACTCACTGTAAAACAACATAAGCTCATGTCTACAACTGTGTATTTCATTTTGGAGCTTTTGTAACATATCTTCTTTCCTGCAGGGGGAGAGCTGGAGCAGCAGCTAAGACAGATGGATTATCTAAACCTTTCAACAATGGTACTAAACCCCAGCTCCCCGCCAGCAAGTCTAAACAGGACTGTTGCCTTGAAACTGTTGAAACAGCAGAGGGTAAGGCATGCCATAAGCACTGAAAGTGACATACGTTTAGGTGAAACCGCTTCTTCTCCAAAGTCTTTTTCCTTAATTATTTTTCCATAATTAGGGTTAAAAAACAACTCTTTTAAAATAGCTTAATATACTGTTTTGCAGCTGTACGCGGGAGTAAACTCAAAGTGCATTGCATAAGACAAGTCAGGATGGGGGGAGGGGGGTCGTGTATAAGAAGGAGATCAAACAAAATGCTGTTTGAAGAAGTATATAAAAGTGTGAAAACGGTTGAAAAGAATTCCACTCTACTTGAAACACCTTAAGGTTTGGTGGCATTCCCTAATGAGGATTGGAACATGTTTTTTGTTTAATTGTCCTTTTACTTTATGTTGCATGTCCCAACTTTATTTAAAATACATTAAATTCATAATCCTAATGATAACTGTGCAAATGTAGATGCAACGTCACATCATTACAGCGTACCCTGTTTCATGTACTGTGACATGCAGACAAACATGTCAGCTAGCAGATATCCACTTTAAATATCCACTGTGTTATTGTGAAACCATATTTATGATATGACATGAAATAACATTAGTAACAGACATTTTTTTAATGTGTTTGTCAAAGGGGGTAACTATACTTCACCTGTGTGTGTGGCAGACGGAGTCAGCGTGTCCAGTCTGGTGAACCGCAGGTCTCACACCTCACGGCTGGGCCTGGCCCACGCCCTCTCCCGCTCTGCAGACACCTTGGACCAGGCAAAGCACCTTTACCAAGAGGTCATCTCCATGGCACCAGGGGTCAGTTTTTATCTGCTACAATTAGATTTAAGGCATTTTCTCAGTAATTCTCCAGTGCAGCTTATACAGGATACCATCACCAGTTTCACACTCACCTAACTGTATGGCTCCAGTCTGTGATTAATTGCAGTGGAAAGATCACATGATCCTCTGTTGGATTAGAAAACTGTACAACACTTTTTTAACTTGATGTGTAAATGGTGGAATATGCAGTGATCAAGAAAAGAAAGCTGTTCCTCTTACTTCCTGAGTGATTGAAAACTATTCACACAGTGCAGTCAGTTATACTCTAAAATAGAAATGCCAGTCATAACCAGTGGAAAAAATACATTCCTAAAGGAGCATGTTTGATTTGGTCTAATTAATCCTTACATTCTGGCTGCCCAGGTCCACGATGCTTACATTGAGCTGGTACAGCTGTTGGAGCCATCAGACCCTCAGGCTGCAGTGGAGGTGTACTGCAGATTCCCCCTGAAGCCTGTGGCTGAGCAAAGCTTTGATGATGCCTTCATCACAGGAGAGATCGTCCGCATACTGATGACGCAAGAGCAGTACGATCACCCGCAGCTGGGCCCCAGCCTAGCAGCACATGGCAAAGTCATGGGTCTAGGTAATTACTATTATTAATACTGCAACCTTGGTAATATTAATCTCAGAAGAAGTCAAATCTCAGTAGTAGTACTTTTAATAAATGTTGAGATGTTTAAGCAAGTGGCTATCGCTTTAAAACAGAGCAGAACAATTAACCACTTTTAATCATTTGGAGTGAACAGATTTGGGTTAAATACTGCGTTTGTTGCAGACATTTGGTAGCCACAGAAAAATAAGAACAGATTTTCATATTCTTTTGTAAAAAAAAAAAAAAAGTCAGTAGCACTCTTCACACCATGGTAGGTGGCAAAGTCCACCCATCTTGAATCACAGGCATGTTAACACTGCACTTATTTTCAAAGAGTGGTTTACCACAGTTTATTAGTCGTCACCCTAACTATATTTAATGAATGTGTTGCTTAAACAGTGTAGTATTAAAATCATGCAGCCAAGCCCATGTGTCCTGTCATGATGAGTTATTTATAGAGATGTATCACATTCAATTGGCCAGATAGATGACATGACATTACACAGAGTGCATTCTGTAGATGCAGTAGATTAGGATAATTTATTTATCTAAAGATGTTCAGTGTATTATTATTACACAAAGTCTCATATGAAGTGTTTGGTTTGAAAGTTAAATGACTGTATATTTCAAAACTCTAAAACACACTTCCCTGTGAAAAACATTGTGGATATTGCTTTGAAGTGAAGCTTGATATGTTAAAGCATTTGCACTTGTGTGACTGCAGTAATTTCGATCCTCTAACCTGTGGCTGTTTGTAGAATGCATAAAGAAATACATCGACATCTTGGATGAAAAGTGCATGACTAAGCTGCTGAAGAATGTCTATGCGAGGATCCATGACAGACTAGAGGACGATCAGCATCTACAGGACTTCTTCAGATTCAAATGCTGGATTTAATAGTGCTTGTAATCCTGTGACAAATGCCTGAATTTATCTTTCTGAATTGTTAAGTGAGTGACAGCTTGCTTACTCTACACCAAAAACACAGTAAGCTGGTAAGACACTTCCTTTCGTACAGCCAATGCTTCTCTTGACTTTACTTACCAAAGAACACTGTTAAATTAGAAAACAGAATTCTTATTCAAATGTACTATCAAAGGTCACAACTTTAACAACAGACAAAATCATAGTGCAACAGAAGAGAGGTGTTTCAGTGAGTATTCTGCAAAAATGGAAAGAGATTAAGAAATTAAATGTTGATCCCCAGAGTTCTTCCAAGCCAGTAGCTACATGACTCGTTTCCTTCATCCTAACAGAGGCTTTTCACCAATACAGGAAATGTATCATCATGTCGCAGGGGTATTTTTCTGAGAACATTACCTGCAGAGCTCAGCCAAGCATTACATGTTTCGAGTCAAATGTTTATCTGGCAAGAAAAACCTAAAGATGAGTGTCAATTGTATAAAATCTGGATGAACAGCTGCCAAAATCTGCAGCAGCAAAGTGTTGTCTTGTCATAAAATATCATCAGTTCAAATACGAAGAGGGTTACAATTCAGCCCCAGAAAAAGGCAGCGATTTACACACTGTTGGTGCATCTCAGCACTGCATCTTGCTTTGTTTTGGGCTGCACAGATCCTCCCTTTAGTGATTTTCTTTTCACACCACATTGAGTTTGGTGACAATGAGCACACGGACAGACTGGTCAAAGCCTGAACACACACACAGGCCCTGCTTATCAGGGCTCCAGTCCAGACTGGCGATTGGCTGAGTGGACAGTGTTACGTTCTGTAAGAGGTTGACAGAGCCGGCTACGCCCACATCCACACCATCTGAGTCCTTCTTGCTTCTCTGAGCAGGATACTCACTGGAAATAGCATCAGTACATAAAAATATATTATAGGTCAGTTTATAGAGTAAAGCAGAAAAACAACCATCATGATTGGTACTTTTGTATCTTGAAATGGGACTAAACGTTGCAGTTGAAGATGGATTACAGTACTTACTATTTCCAGAGATGTAGAGTGCCTGCTCCCCCTGTAGTCATGAAGATGTCTCTGTTTTGAGGCAAATGTCTCACCTGCCAGATGGTCGACTTATGAGCCTAACATAAAGCAAAGGAATAATTTACTTCACAAAACAATTACATGGTAATAGAGAAATTCCTAGTACCTAGTACCTTTCAAACCTGTGTATAAAACCTCTCCTCCAATTTATTCTGGTCAGGGACAAATAATGTGCCAAACTTGCTGTCCCCTATACAGTTTTAGCTCTTCCTTTGTTACCAACTGTTTAAAGTTATGTCATTCATGGAATAGTTTTTATCCCTATTCTGCTTCCACATTGCTCCACTTCCCTTGTAACAGTTTGCCACACTGCACTGCAGTAAGCCGTTATTTTGCTTTTACATAAGCAGAAGACCTCCAGAAAAACAGCTGAAACATTATTAATGATCTCACTGAAACCAATGAGTCTGCTTTCAAGAAATAATACCATACGCAGCACATACTGTAAATATCCTGACATTGAAAAAACAAAAACAAACTATCATACTTCAAAAATTGTAACACAGACAACAGATGGTCCCTTCAGAATACCCAAGCCAGATGCAGGCCAAGACTCTGTTAGTATGACTGCAAATTCTCATCAACAGCTCTGAGGTCTTGATTATAATACAATAACAATTTCAAATCTTTAGCCACATGTTAAGACTTATTTGAAAAACTACATTGATATTTTTTACCAAAATATATCTGGTGGATCCTTGTGGTTCATAAAGACAGCGATGTGCTAACTTTTGATTGCTCAGAAGAACTGGACAAATATTTAGAAAGCTGAGGCCTCAGATCCTTCAGACCTGGCAAACACTTGGACTGTGCACTATTGCTGGTTTAATTGTGTTTTTCTAGCATTTTCCCAGAAAAAGCCACTGGCCCAGTGTCATTCTTGGCCAATGTCACAAAGGATGTTAGACAAACACAACCCAAATACTTCCAGCTGTGAAAATGGTCGAAACGATGTGTGTCCCCATTTCCCTCGGTACCATACAAATGTAAAACTAATGATAATAACCTTTTGACGGTGACATTTTCCCCCATACATGGGAACCAAACACCTACAGTATCTGGCTCGTTCAATTACCTTTTCGGAAACAGAGGCAAAGCCCTTGCTTGGGTGTTGGGTCCTCATGTCAAAGACGTGGAATTTTCCCTCCAGTGAGGTTGCCACCAGCTTGTTCATGATGATGTCTTTCCTGTCAAACTCCACACAGCATATCTGGTTGTGAGGTAAGAAAAAAATAACAGTCACTCCCTGGACATTTATCACATGGTATGGCTCCACCACAATTTATTTCCATACATTTGTTGAAATGAACATAAAGTCCAGGCAAGTTCTTCTACATTCAAGGGGCGCTGAATAAAGAGAAACAGCTGGGTAGTAAAATCAGAGCAGTGCTTTGTACATGACACAATGGGCGCATGCATTCGTCTCAGACTTCCCCTGTGGATTTACAGTATGTCCAGTCTAGATGATGCTGGGAAGTCATTTTCAGCTTCAAGTGCAGGCTGCAGCACAAAAGAAATAATGTATGTTTGGACAATTTATCCTAATGAAAACATCAGTTCTAAATATGAGGACTATTGTTTGTGTTTCAGAGCTGAGTTGGCTGAATCATAGTCTGAGTTACTGCTTTCTTCTGAAAAGGCTGTAATTTTCTTGCTATGGTGCCATGCTGGCTACATGACTCAAGAAATCAAGAGGAAAATCTCATGAAATATTTAACATCAACAACTCAGAAATGAAAAGGCCACAGGGGCTGTCACTCCATTTATTGGCTATTTTTTCTGTTTTACCATTTCAGTACTGTTCACCTCACCCCATTTTTAATGTTGGTTTCCCACCGTACAGACATATTCCGCAGGTCAAAGAGTTTGATGTCCCCATTGTCATAGCCGGCACAAACACAACGGTCCTGATCATTAATGGCATGACCTGTAATGAGAGGGTCAAAGGAAAATGAACAGTTTTCATTTATGAGGAAGGTACAGGACCCCTTTTCAAAGATGGTTTGGAATTTTGAAGTTACAAATAAGTAAATATATATACATAGAACCTGAAAAAGTACAATTGTACAACATAGTTGTAGGGCTATTTTAAATGGAGCAAAGATTGTGCTTTGCTTGTTAATTTTGTATTCTTTTGTTCAGTGGATGTGGCATGGGAGTGGGAAGATATTCATCTCCTGTACAAGCTGGACACTTCACCCAGCTTTTGTGCACAGGACATAGATAAATCTCTGCTCATACCATAAAGATTTATCCGTATGTACCTGGAAAGCAGGAATCTGAAGCTGTACTGGTCATGGCTAACTGAAACTTGTGGATGTTAAGTACTTTCAACACTTAAAGCTTATATTTTACACACCAAATGCAACAGTCCAGCAGTCCCGCTTGGTTTCTCCTTCCACGGGCTCCATGTTAGCTACAGGTGAATCCTTCTGTCTGGGATCCCACACCTTTACTGTACCTGTAACACCCAAAGGAAAAGTAACATTTTAGCAAATTTAACCTTGGTTTTAAATTTTCACCCTAGCATCTACAATTGTGTAGATGCCACTTCTTTTTCTTAATATCAGTGTTCTGAAAATGTTGTAACTGTAAATCACATAAATCTCTCTTAATGCTCCTACCATCTCTGCTTCCAGTAACTATCTCAGGTGCACCATCGCCAATCCCCAAACCGCCAACACCATCAATACAATTCACTATCTCTTTGTGAGCCTTTACAGTGTACACTGGCACTTCAGGCATCTCTAGATTCCTGTAAACAACAAAAGAATCTACACTGAATGAACAGGTAGACTTAAAAAATGGGGTCAGCGTAAATTAACATTCAGTTCAGTTAGCCAGTGATAAAGCCCCAAATCACTGAGTTTTTCCATTGAGAGGCTAATATTATCAAACAGATGATAATGGCTGGATAGTCCATGAGGCATTGGCTCTAAAGGCAATGCCTCATGGAATGGCTTGTGACTGAAGTTTAAACTGTCCTTTCATGCCATTGATTGTTCAGTGAATGTGGATAAAACAAGTTACCATATATTGAGATTTCCGTCAAAATTCCCAGTTGCTATGTGTCTTTGCTGAAGAGAGGTGGCCCCAAATGTCCCACACTTTATAGGTTTAGGTTTCTCTACCTGAAACATATGAGAAGCAGGGTTTAGTTTAGCTCCCAGGGTGGGACAATCTAATAGGTAGTAAACTAGTACTGTGAAACGCCATAAACTTATTTCAGGCCCAATGCGTTTGACAAATACCCAAAACCTAAAAACTATCACTAAGGACAAATATCAGAGAACTGAGATATGCTTGTGAAAGCTTATTTACTTGAAATTACCCAGATTTAATTAAACACCTACAGTTAAGAACCTCTGAATAGTTTAGGTCCTTGGCTGTCTTCATGTTGTCTGTTGCTATGGAGAACAAAACCTAGCAAGATTTTTCTAGAAACCATAAGTAGATAACATTAAGCTAGCTAAACCTAAAATAAGCTGTTTGCACAACATATTTCTGGGAAAAGGAGCAACAGCAAACAGGAGAAAACTGTGTACATTATATCTACCTGCTGGATAAGTTGAGCCTCTCCGTGCTGGATTTCATATATTTGCATAACTCCGGTTCCTTTAGGAAAGTTCCCCATGCAGACAAACTTCGCGCTGCACGGAATCCATTTACTGTCAAAAACGGTGTAGTTCAGACTCTTCTGAATATGCGCAATAATCTGAGGCTTTGATAGTGGCGATGACATCTTTGCTGATCTAGAAATATTATGTTAAATGGGTCAACATTAGCTTGATAAGCACCAACAACATTTATCATGGATCAAGCTCACTGCCAAAATAAAAGGGCCCTTCCTACAGCTGAGCGTGCGGCTGCCCAAAGATATGCCTGACAAAATGTATACATTTCATGTAAACATTTTTTATTTAGGATACATGGACAATCTACACGTATATCAAGTTGAATGAAACTCCATTCTAGTAACAAAGCGAACGGTTTTTGTTAATTACAACCCGATTATTGAATATTGTTACTCTACAGGCGTTGATTACGTGGCTCTTTGGGTCATTTTCTTTGCACGAGGACACACTCGTGGACCTTTGGCAACAGTTCGCTTCTGATTTGACTTGTTTAATTTGACATAGATAAAAATTCGGGATGGACACTGATATAGATACAGTTCCTGGTGCTAGCACATCAACGGAGAATAAAGATAACACAGATTCTTTCATAAAGGTAAAGTCTAAAAGGAGTCAGAAACGAAAACGTGAACAAGATGGAGTGGACATGGACACAGGGGAGCCCGTGAGAGCTAAGCGGCCGCAGTTTCCACCGATTTCAAGCGACCATTTAAGGGTAACTACTGTCTGTGAGCATATGTTCATCGTATTTTCTCACTGTTATCTTAGTACAAACAGGCGTATTTATAATGCTATTTAATCTCATGTAGCAGCCAATCCACGGTTTGCACTTGCGCAGTGTGGTCTTGTGAGTGCACTATGAAGCTACTGTTATGTGCGTATGTACATTGTATTCTGTACTAGCATCGCAGGGGAAAGTAAAACATTAATTAAAAAAAATATATATATCTGTCAGCAGGGGCCCAACAACAAATTTTCACCCTGGGGCACCCTCTGTGGATAATCCAGCCATGAGACTACTCAGCAATACTCTTATGTAATGGCTACAGTCACTAGTTTTCTGTGCAAAATTAGTTTTTAAATGAAAACCATTGGACAAGTTCATAAAATATTTATAACTAATATCTGTCCAGCAGTAGAAGGATTAGAGAGACCACCCACAACTTTAAAATTAACATAGCAGATTAATCCATCAGTAATGCTGAAAAGGACAGCCAACCACAATAACAAGCATGGTTTACTTTTAATGTCTAAATACATTGTGCTGCAAAGAATTAGAGAGAATTTGCTACTTCTTTAGTCTTAAATAGTAGTAAAGGACATTTTAATCTTGGACAAAACATTTGATGATGTCACCTTGTACTCTAGGATATTGGGATTAGGATTCTTCACTGTTTTATAGACCATATGCTTAACTTGAACATAATCTGTAAATGAATTACTAATGAAGATTAGTTAAAGTGGTTTTCTGGTGCCACAGAACCATTTTTTCAGTGTATGATGATGTTTGGGTTGTGTTTGCTTCAGGGACCAAATGAGATGCGTAAAATCCCTGTTCCAGCTCACAGATACACCCCGCTGAAGGAAAACTGGCTAAAGATCTTCACCCCCATCGTAGAAAATCTTCATCTTCAAATCAGATTCAACCTGAAAACTAGGAATGTTGAAATCAAAGTAAGTTTCTGCAACACATTTACTGTAAGCAGTGTGGATGCTACAGTAATATCCACCTGTTCTGTTATTTTCTGGTACCCACAGATGTGTCCTCAGTGTTTGTGATGTGCTTCTCTTTCAGACATGCAAAGAAACACAGGACATTAGCGCACTCACAAAGGCAACAGATTTTGTTAAAGCGTTTATTCTGGGGTTCCAGGTTGAAGTAAGTACACTGATGGAAGGTTTTGTTGAGTTGTGTGTGTTTTCATTTTGGCTGGGGTCTGGCTATTTTTTTTTTTATCAGATTCCTCAGTCTGCTTTTGTACAAAATGTGTGTTTGAAAACAGCTTATAACCCTTCAGGGGATAGTTACCACTAATCCAAGATCTGCTGTAGTCAGAAACATGGTGTGTATATTTTGTGAAGCTGACAGAACCATGGGACGATGTAGTAAAGTTAGCATGTGAGAAGAAAAAGCTTAGATATACAGACTTGACAGAGGTAGAGCAGCATTTTTGGAAACCTAAGGTCCACCCAGTGGTGGTTGGCTGGAGGGGAATTGTTAGCAGATCATTCTTGTCCCAGTTAACTAAACTGGATGTAAAGAGGAAGAGCCTAAAGGCAGTGAAGAACGTGTCTGACACACACCGGTGTATGACAGCTTAGCCTAAGCAGATACAGAGTCTACATAATGCTGGGTCACCGCTGAGTACTGACGTTTTTGCTTGGGTGAGGGTAGGAGCAGCTTAAACATTTGCTAGGCCAGTTTAACAGTATTGTAGAATGGGGTCACCTGTGATGGGTCCTCGGCAGATTTGAGGGCATGATCCGATGCTCACTGTGGGGCTCAGCGGTAGGTCAAAGCATCATTTGACATGAATGCTGGGCGTCCATAGGAATGTTCACCCAGTGTCTGACCCATTTCACAGAGTTGATCACTGTATGTAGCAAGAAAGTAAAGCATAATGAAAAGTAGTAGTAGTTGTTTCTGTTTTACTGTTCACATGATGAGGATGTATTTGTTTAATATTCTTTATTTTTAAAGCTTCTTCTTTAAACAAGAACAAAAATGTCAAGCTTTCATTGATCACGGTTATATTTTACTTTAGACAGAAACAAATCTGACCAACAACCGTATAATAACCGATTTTTTGATTTATGTTTTGCGAATGCCCCTTAAACCTTCATCATTTTTTTGTTTGTGACGTAACACTCGCACCTTCTCCTTCCAGGATGCCCTCGCTCTCATCAGATTAGACGAGCTTTTCCTAGAAAGCTTTGACGTCACGGACGGTAAGACCGCGCCATGTGCTTGTCTGGTCTGAAATGCTCCACATTTGAGCAGCATTGTTTTTCCCTGCTGTGAAGCAAACTTGTTGTTGTGTATCTAAGTGATCTCTCATGTTGCCTGTCTTGGCAGTGAAACCTCTGAAGGGAGACCACTTATCCAGAGCCATTGGAAGAATAGCAGGGAAGGGAGGAAAAACCAAATTCACCATTGAAAATGTCACAAAGACTCGCATTGTGCTCGCAGACACGTGAGTGCTCGAAATATATTCTTGTGCCGTTACCTTATCTGATCACTTTCTTGATTATTAGTCATAATAAAATCATTTAAATCTCTTTTAACTTCACTTTTGTATTTTAATGTGTGATATTTTGACAGTTGTACTACAGTGTTTGTCAGACTAACAGCAGCCTGAGAGTTTTGTTTTTACAGCTCTAAGACAGCTGTACCTGAGAAACATAAGTTGGTGGTTTACTACTGCAAAATTAAACAACACTTAATTGACTCTTTGACACAGGAGAAAGACTCACTTCTCTAAAGCTAGCCTGACTTTTCATTCAGTTTAAATACATACATAGCATTAGGCCATAGAATTATGTACAGTCAATATTAAATTCTTACCCCATGAGAGTATTGTGGTTTTCTCTTTCTGAACCCACACTGAAGGGCTGTTGTACCTGTACTGTGTGCTAGAAATGGCTCATTTGTTTCTTAAAAAGAACCGACAAATTAACATTCTTGTCTCTCAACAGAAAAGTTCACATATTGGGATCGTTCCAGAATATCAAGATGGCCCGGACAGCGATATGCAACCTAATCTTAGGTAAGAAGGTTATTTTTAATTATAGTTGATCATATGGTTGTTATACTTTGGAACAAGCTCTCTAAATCCACATGTACTGCCGAGTAGTGATCTAAACGCTTTGGCCCCTACAGGAAGTCCACCTTCAAAGGTCTATGGGAACATCAGGGTGGTGGCCAGCAGAGCGGCAGAGAGATTCTGAAAGCCGAGTGGTTGCTCTGTGCATTTCTCTTCACCCACTGACTGGTTTTATTGCCACTTTGATGAGCCAAGACTGCTGACTGACCCCTCAGGCTCTGCTGTAATGGCTCATGTGTCCAGTGTTCACTTTTTTGGATCATATGGCACTAAGTATGTGGGGACAGTGCTGAGACATGTGTCAACAGAATGCAGAAATCTGAAAATATGAGTCTGTGTAAATAAATAAATCTCCACTAAAGAATGAGTTCAGTTCTGTCACTCAGATGTACAAGATGTCTGCTTAATTCATTAATACTGATGACTGTGTGCTGCTCCCTGGCAATTCATGTTTCTATTTATGATACAATCCTGTTTAATGACAAACTGAAGAGAAATGAGGTAAAAAAAAAATAAAAACACGTTTCAAAGTTTATTTAAATTTAATTTTCATACAGTATCAAGTTTCCAACAGTCCCACAGCATAAGATGCAGCATGCAGAAAAAGGAAAAAAGATTCTCAAACTTAAATCTTTTCAGATATCCCCACACAAACTAAAAAGAACCCAAGTCCCTCAGAGAAGAAGTAGCACTTACAAACTAAAGCGCGGTCTGAACTATACAGAGAACAGAGAGCCAGAACTGCATTTAACAAATACTTATATACAAAAGAAAGGGAAAAAAAAACCATCAAAATTTCCCCTTTAAGCTGAGTACAGTGTGTGGCAGTTTGAGACAGGATCAGATATGCAACCTTTACTGGAATAGAAGCATCTCGCTGACCCGAGTAAAATACAAAAAGTTACGTGTAGTTCAGTTCATTTGGATTACCTCTCATAATGTGTACATTTACCAAAGTTTGGCAACATCCATATTGTATACCATTAAATTTTTAAATATATTAACATCACCATCCATGTGTAAACAAGAGGATTATTTCAAAAAATTGATCTACATGCACAACAAAAATTATACTTCCATGTCATGCAAGCACAGGGAGGCCCAAGCCGTGCAGAGCTTTGGGATTAGGGACAACAGAGTACTCCAGATTCACATCTCTGACTGAACACTCCTGTTCCAACGAGCACTCGGCCTCCAAAGCAAAACAAAGCTATCCTGATGCCAAGTATCGTAGGAAGCATTTTTCCCTTAGAAATTAAAATTTGGTTGAATTTATGTTTTGGAGGGGGAGAAATGAGGTGATTCTGACAGGAAAAAAAAAAGGTGGGAGAAGAAGCCAACTTTTGAAATGTACATGTTCCAGAAAAAAAACTAAACAAAACTACACTATACAGTTAACCCCACTGCACCCTGATCACGCCAATGTGTTAAGATTTTAAGTGTTTGTGTAGCGTTACAGAAAACTGACCTGTCATGTGCTGTACTGAGAAAGGTTAAGTATTCAGAAGGGCTCATGTCAAGCAGAGGCAAAGCCTTCTCCTCTGGCTGTTGAAGATGAGCACACATTGATTACCCAATATACACATTATTTTAAAAAAATGCCGCCTGCAGATAAGTCTCTTAAATTGCTATATACTTGCACAAACAGTGTAAAATCTCACCATTATTCAATGCCAAACTATTACTCTCAGCTCTTAGCCGAGTCCATCCAGCCTCTGCTTCCAACGTTACGTAAAGTCTCGAAATTCTAGTGAATCCATTATGGCTCCTCTGTCAGCCTGAGAGCAGAGCTGTTCTTTGCTTTGGAGATTGTCTTCTGGATTCAGAAATGCTTCATCGATAGTAAACCATGTACTGTGTTTGCAGCCACAAATTATTTTGGAAAAAACATTTTGTTGGCATTCATTTATCTACCTCTAATTTGACAGGAAACGAGCATAATCTCCAACAATATAAACACATTAAGTATAAATAAAAGTAGCAATCTTTATCTAAAGAATAAAACCATGAGTTGCTTTGCTAAGAGTGACTGAATTCTTTACTGGTCTAATCTAAACTACTTGTGTGGAAGGTAAAAGTCAAGACATTAGAAAATCTGAAATTTCTTAGTGCAGCCAATATGACTCGCAGTTGGAAATGTCACAGGCCAGTGTGTCTGGCATGATTTTAGTGGTGATGATAGGTAATAACTTGGACTGGTTTCTGGATATGTTCCGGTTGGCACTTCATACCCTACTTTCTAGTTGTACTGCAAGTCAAGTGTTAATATATTGTACACTTCCCCTCACGAGACAACCATAGATATACTTGTATTTTTTTTCTTCTTTATAAAAGACAAGAACAAAAAATAAATATCAAAAATAACAATTAAAAAAAAAAGGACAAAATATGAACAAGCCAACCAGCCTCTTCACTGTGCCACCTTTCTCCCCCTTCATCCAAAATCGGAGACGTTCTTGCAAAAGACAAACAGATGTCCTTCAGTCTTTTAAAGTGCTACAACCGGGTTATTGAGGGGCTTGTCAGTTCAGTAACACTTCAAAGTTGGCTTCGCGAGGCCTGTGGTTTTGAAAGGAAAAGTGGCTTCACACAGAGAGAGAGAGAGAGAGAGAAAAAGAAAAAGAAAGATATAGAGAGAATACTTCCATTGAGTTACACAGAGCGTTTTGCCGGACGTCTTGAGCAGATCTTCGGAGATGGTGGAGAAAGCGAGTGTCGAGGAGGAAGGGGGGAAAATCAGCGAGCAGAGGAGCGCTCACACGTCCACCACCATCTTTTTGTGTATATCAAGACCACCAACCACCTGGAAGGATGAGTGAGATGGAGGCAAAAGAAAATACATCCATTAATCCAGCGCTGTTATAGGCAGTGATGGTAAATGTCAAAGCAGAGATGTGAGCTCCCCTGTTAGCAAGAACAGGCCTTTTAATGAAGGCAGTGTAAATAATAGAGGCATAATATATATAGAATAAAGCCATATGAACTGCTTTTAGCTGCTTCAGTTCCAGGATCACCTTTTAAACTTATGTGCTGTAGATTATTTTAATGAATAAAATCCTCAGTCTCAGCCAAGGTTTCTGCATCATCCAGCATTTAAAATCTTATTTTTATACCCTCTTTGTTGCATTTTCCTACAGTGATGATCAGGATTAATATAACCAAGACAGAAATCATAACAGTCTCCTCCTTGAGCCTTGAAGTATTTGATCAGCGCTGCTTTGTTAAAAACAGGGCCCGATATTCTTCCACATCATCCTGAAAATACCTTCCCTTTTTAGTTCAGGGCTCCGGAGATTCAGCCATCAAATGTGGGCCTGGTGCCTGTCACAGAAGTGGTGCCTTTCATTTCAGAAAATGTCTCCGAGCAAAGAAGGATCCACTGGGGTCCAACAGGAGACAAGTTATGTAGATGATTTATTTTAACCAGAGAACTCTGTGTTCAAAGACACCTTGATTGCCTCTCTTATCTTGCGACCATGTACTTTGTCTTAATTATAAGGCTGGAATCTAAATCAGTATAACTGCAGTGGTTCTCAGCATTGAGTTAGGTCCATATCTTTATAGACAGCACTGCCTGTCGTATCTACTTCATTTTTACCTCAACTATCATAAATACCATCTGCTCATTATATCAGAAGTGTGTGTTTTGTTTAGCAGTGAACAATTCTCAAAGAGCTGCTCTGACGCCAATCCATCATGTTCACGTCGGCGCTAATGACTCCCAACTTCGCCAGTCGGAGGTCACTAAAATTAATGTTGAGTCGGTGTGTAATTTCGCTAAAACAATGTCGGACTCCGTAGTTTTCTCTGGACCCCTACCCAATGTGACCAGTGATGACATGTTTAGCCGCATGTCGTCATTCAACCGCTGGCTGTCTAGGTGGTGCCCAGAAAATAACGTGGGCTTCATAGACAACTGGAAAACATTTTGGGGAAAACCTGGTCTGATTAGCAGAGACGGCATCCATCCCACTTTGGGT